ACTGACTCAACAATCATTGGTTGGAAAAATGGCTACCTACATGGAGGAGAGGAAGAGACCGAAAAAAGAGGCAGACCACTTCAGATAGATAGGTAGAGGTTTAACAAGCAAGGGAACTTATTGTCTTGGTCAAGCACAAGGGGAGTAAATATCTGCATCTGCCAGCCAGAATCTTAAACGTTTACATAGAGCCCTTAACTGGGCGCAGTGGTACAGTCCCATCCAAAACTGTTCTCAACAACACCTTTCTCGCTCAAGTTTTAGTGTTAGCCCTGGCAGTTATTATATTTATTTTTGTAATGCTAGCCTCTGACTTAAGCTTTGATTGCCCAAGTATGAAATATCCATTTTAAAGAAGGCTATCTCAAAGAAACACATGGCTAGTCATATAGATAAAGAGCTAAAGAACCAGGTCGCCTCCCTCTATTGAGACTTCTTTGCTCTAAGAAATTTGATTTCAATAACTGGTCATTAGGACTATTTGTTTTTCTTTCTCTTCTCGGACTTTAAATTCCAGCTCTAATGTTTTGAATCCACCAAAAAAGTGTGAGCCCACGAAACCCTAGGCTCCCACCCTCGACCCTAATACTTGCAAAACAGCTGCTCTTTCTCTCTTTCTCTCTGTTTCCAATGAAAGGAAATTTTTGGACTGGAACCCGGATTCTTTGTCCACTGAAATCGAAGAATGAATCCATGGACAGAAAGTGGTATAGTAAAGGTGGAGATTTTTTGAAGAACAAGTACAGACTCCCACATGGGTAGTGGGAAAGAATCCCACAGAATGGACCCCCAAGTAGGGAGGGGGAAAGGGTCCCACTGAGTTCCTTTTCCCTATGGCTTATAAAGGCTGCAGATCCTGGTGCCTTGATAGCCCCTCTGATTGGTCACTCTTCCCCTAGAGTGGTTACTATAGTAACTCCTGTGCTCAAAGGTCACACCTCACATGGGACATACGAGGTTCTCCCTCTCCTTCCTCATTGTTTTCCTATTCCCTTTGGGCTTTCCTCTTCTCCTTCTGGATGAAGGGCTTCCTCCTTCTCTTTATTTTGTAAATATCGACCTTTTGCTGTTCCCAGCTCCCTCATCCTATGGAAATGTACCTGTTGCAGCTTTTCAGCTCCCCTATTCTATGGAAATATACCTTCTGCTGCTCTGCAGCCCTGTGTTTCCTCCATGGTCCCCTTAATTTCTAAAATTTCCTAAACCTGTCCTATTTTACTCCTAAAATTCCTGTTTCACCATCCTCATTGAGTGGTCCCAGGTGTGCTGTGTAATTTCCAGGTTCTAGGAGTCATAAAGCTTTTTTTTTTTTCAAAGTTTCTTGCTGGTTATAGCTGAAGGGCATCTTGCAATCATAACAAGAACCTCAAGAACTGGTTGTTGATAGGCTGAGCTCAGTACAAAACACACAAGGCTGTGTCCTTGGAATAGTCCCCATGTGGGGTTGGAAGGCAGAGCATACATTTCAAGAACATGGGGCGAAATGAGGAACCTTTGATTGCCATGGTCCAGCTTGAGGGTCAACTGGCAGCCAAAGGATTACCTCCTCCAATCCAGTCAAAGTCTATTTACTGGTGTCATAGCGGGGCATTGGGAATAAGGGAGGCAACTTCTCTGCCTTCGGTTGGTCACCATGCAGTGGGAAAAGCAGCGAACAGAGAGAAATTGGGGAAAGGGGGTTGCAGATTAGAGAGGCCCAGGGTCCTGTAAAGCTAATGGCACAGCCTAAAGTAGGGGTGGGCAACCCTTGGCACGCGTGCCAAATGTGGCACACCAGTAACTTTTGCTGACACGCGAAACCCGCTCTTATAATCTTCCATTTACAGTGTTTTTCTTAATATCGACTTTTTTATTTTTCAGATAAATTCAGTGTAGGTACATCTTAGATAAGTAAATAATTTTACATAACAAGTTATCTTAAAGACCATAGACATGGATTGATGAGAGGGGAAGAGCAATTTCAATAGTGTCGAAAACGAACTATTGAGGACTTGGAATGCCATTCCAGAAAATTTTTTCTGTTTAAAAAACTTTGCAACAGCGTTACTCTCCATGTTTTCATCCACATACGCTTGTGAATCTTTGTTCTCAGTGATGAGTTTTGTTAAGTCTCGTAATAGGAGTAGCCTGACGGATGAAAGTAGTAGCTCGTGCATATCTCTGAAGGTCATGAAATATAAACCTGATGTAAAATCTGTCATCAGTGATGCAGCAGCAAAAGTCCCACTGATAATATCAAACGGAGTCATAAAGTTTTCTGTTGGACTATCAGTGTACATGTATACAATAAAAAATAAATGCATTTTTCATCATCATATACTGTGTTTTTATTGCTCGAATGAATTTTATTATTTCTTCAAAGTTCTTCACATACGCACACCTGAAGAGATATCAAGTAGGCGTAACGTGTTCTCAAAAAATTAGGGTTGGCATGCAGAAGAATTTTGAGTCAGAGATTTTGCTGGTTTTGGCACGCACTCACAAAAAGGTTGCCCACCCCTGGCCTAAAGGTATGCAATGGAATGAGAGGCAAGAGGAGAGTTGGCCAGCAGCACATGAATCAGGCCTGGGGGCCCACAGAGGAAGGCGGCCCACTCCTTATCCTGGTGCTGGCGGCCTCCTCCACCCACCCCCAAGAAGGTAGGGAAGAAACCGGGCTGGGCTGGGTGGTTTCTGAATTCCAGCTGTCAGTCTCCCTGGATAAAGTGGGGCCTGGTCAGAGGGTAGATGATCCTGAGGGGTGCATCAGCCGCAGCTCTCCCCCTCCATGAACACCCAGTCCAAGGAAAAGCAATGGGACCACTGAGCAAATGGAACTTCAAGGCCAGTCCTGACTCCATGTCAACTTGCTATGGGCAGAAATAGAATACTGGGGACTAGCCATAGTTATAAGAAATATTAATCATGCTTTGTTAACTTTGATTGTGAAACCGGACAATCACAGTAACTCTCTGTGCTGCCGGTCACTGCTTGAGCCAATTAAGCAGAGACAGCAGTATGGGAGAGTAGCAGGTCATTCATGAAAATCTGCTCTGCACCCCACCATAAGCCAGGTGCTTATCTTGGGTAGGACAAAGATTACATGGGGAAGTAGGCAAAAAGAATAAGAATGGGTATGCAAGATGGGTATTACAGGTTTGGGAAAATAAGCAATGCAAGCTGGGGTGGGACTCCATTGTTTTGGCAACAAGATTGTTAATCTTTCCATGATAATAGGCAATTCTTGAACTATCTGGACTGCATTCCAACATTGACTCCCAGGTCCCGGGGGCGTACAACTCCTAGCCAGGTTAGAATGTACTATCTTTAATCAGAGTAAAACAATTGTTAGGGGCAAAAATAGAATATTGGGGACTAGCTGTAGTTATTAGAAATATTAATCATGCTCTGTTAATCACGATTGTTTTGTTTTTCTTTTTTGTGTATTGTGGCCTCTGTCGGCAGACAGAATTCTGTGGGAATAGTCCAGCCTGAAGTGGGGCCGGTTGTAAAGCAGCCCTCTTTGCTGTAGTATCAGCTAGGTTGTTTTCTGTAATAATGTTTGTGTTTTCCCTTTGATGTCCTTTGTAGTGAATTACAGCTACCTCTGCAGGTTTTACTACTGTTTGTAGGAGAGTATTTCCTGAAGGTGCTGAATAGGAGAGTTCTTTGCTGTTAAGAGTCCCCGTTGTTTTTATGTTGCCATATGGGGGAGGAAGGCATGCCTGGAGTCGGTAAATATGGACTTGTGTCCCTTTCTCAGCTGTAGGACTCTGGTCAAGGCAATGAACTCAGCCTTCAGTCAAAGGCGATAGGAGGCAATGCCAGGCTTCAGTATATCTAGTTTTCTTAATGTCTTTCTTTCTAAACTTATTGCCATTAGTAAACCATACTTTATCTGGATTATCTGATAGCTGGTATTTGAGATCAGCCCTGTTTGAATAAACTTGTTCTACTGTTCTTACGCAGGAGTGCAAAATTTTCTCCTTTTCCTCCACAGGCAGGAGGAATAAGAGTTTGACATACTTTGAGAATCACCTCAGGGGAGTCTAGGAGTAAAGCCTGGTATCTAGTGAGGTGTCCCTCATAAGTCATATGGCCTTTAATTTCTAAGACCCCCTTGAATCTAGTGTGGGGTCAGGACCTCTAGTGGCTATCCCAATGTTAACATGGTGGCCTATTTTACCAGGAGCATTGTGGTTGCAACAGCCCTTAAAAATGCTAGCCTTGCCTGGCAGGCATGGCTCAGTGGTTGAGCATCGACCTTTGAACCAGGAGGTCACAGATGACTCCCAATCAGGGCACATGCCCGGGTTTCAGGCCCGATTCCCAGTGTGGGGCATGCAGGAGGCAGCCGATCAATGAATTCTCTGTTCATTGATGTTTCTATCTCTCCCTCCCTCTCTCTTTCTCTCAAATAAATAAAAATATATGTTTTTTAAAATGCGAGCCATGCCCTGACCAATTTGGCTCAGTGGATAGAGCGTTGGCCTGTGGACTGAAAGGTCCCAGGTTAGATTCCAGTCAAGGGCATGTACTTTGGTTGCAGGCACATCCCCAGTAGGTGTGTGGGAGGCAGCTGATCAATGTTTCTCTCTCGATGTTTCTAACTCTCTATCCCTCTCTCTTCCTCTCTGTAAAAAATCAATAAAATATATATTTTTGAAAATGCTAGCCATGCCTGGCCAATGTAGCTTGGTGGTTGAGCATTGAGCTATGAACCAGGAGGCCACAGTTGATTCCCAGTTGGGGCACAGGACCAGATTGTGGGCTCAGTCCCCAGTGTGGGACATGCAGGAGGCAGCCGATCATTGACTTTCTCTTATCATTGATGTTTCTATCTCTCTCCCTCTCCCTTCTCTGAAATCAATAAAAATATAATATTACAAGAGGCCCAGTGCATGGAATTCATGCACGGGTAGGGTCCCTAATGGCTGCTGGCTGGGGCCTCCCTTCCCCTGGCTGCCTGCTGCCCCTGGTGGCCAGCAGGGGGGGGGCAGCCCGGGTAAGGGGCAGCGGGCGGTTGGCTGGCCAGCCCAGCCCCTTGGTCGAACTCCTGGTTGAAGGGACAATTTACATATTAGGCTTTTATTATTTAGGAGATATATATATATATATATTAAAAGTCCCCTTCTCCTCAAGGGAAGGGTCAGAGGTTCTGCTCATCCCTCACCCCAACCACCACCTTAGTCTCTGAGCTGCCCTGGAGCCCCCAGGAGCTCTGCTCTGCACTGGGTGTGGCAGGGCCAGCCATCTCCTTAAAAGCAAACCCGGGGAGAGAGAGCTGTAGGAATCTTACAGAGTATGACCAGTTCCCTCCTGTTGGAAGGTATTGTTGCCCTAGGCGAGGCTGCTGGGTTTAAAAAGAGCTGGAACCCACCAAGCTGAACACAGCCCCAGCGGCCTCCTCAAACCTGCTCTGCGCACCCTGCCCTCAGGTGAGCTCAGGAGAACTGGCTCTCAGGTGAGTAGGCGACTGTAGGACTTCAGGCGCCTAGATGGAGGGGTGGGGGCAGAGGGATAGCCCAGAGGACCAGCCTGAGGAAGGGGTGGAGGAGGTGCCTGGATGTTCTTGGTAACAGGGGTCGTGTTTGGGGGTTTGAGAACTGGAGGTGTCTATTCTGTGACCACTGTCAGATGGATGGCGGGTTGGGGGCTGGAGGAAACAGGAGCCAGCCTTTGGCTAAAGAATGTGTAAAATGGAGTTGCAGCCCTCATGATCCAGGAATTCCAGGGCGTGAGAGGAAGTGAGAGGCAGGCTAGTCTAAAGGAGGGCCAGCTTCAGAGACTGCTCAGAGGACACACCCCTGCCTTCAGAGGCAGCACGCTAAAGGCCAACCCTTCATGGCAGTAGGACCTAGGTATTTATGTATTTATTATTGTAACACGTTTTACTGTGTGCTAGCACTGTTCTTAGACTTGACAAATTAACTCACTTAATTCAGTCATAACCTTATGAGGCGAGGCTGCTAATTCTAGTTACCCTCATTTTAAGGACAAAGAAGCACAGAGAGATAAGTAACTCCCTGAGTCACACAGCTGTCAAGTGGCTGAGAGTGGATTAGACTTCCTTTCAGCTGAGCCCAGCAAATAGTAACAATGGCTTCAATATGGAACACTGACCATCCCTATCCCTCCCTGCAGCTAACAATCTGCAGAAAGTTGGGAAGGGCCTTATCTCCAGGGTAGGGCCACCCAGGGACTAGTTCTGGCACCCTAAGGCAACATGGATGTCCCACCCACCAAGCAGTTTCCTGCCAATAGCAGCTGGTACTCTGAGTGGAATTTGGGGCCGCCTGGAGCAGGGTCCCTGCCGGGCTGGGGTGGGATGGGAGGCTCTGTCTGCCCCTCACAGTCCTCCCACTTCCCTGGTAAGCCGCTGGCTTCTCTGCCCACCTCCGACTGGGTGCACCCTTCGTGTGAGGTTAGGAGAGTTGGCATCATAGCCTGCATAGTACACCTGAAACTATTACAAAATACTATTGAATTTAAACTGCAATTTAACATTTTTTTTTAATTTAAAAAAAGGGGGGTGGGGGACCTGAGTTAGAACAGTAGCCCTGTTCACCTGACCTTGGGTCAGACATCTGACATAGATTTTTTTTTTCCTCACCCGAGGATATTTTTCCACTGGGTTTTAGAGAGAGTAGAAGAGAGAGGGAAAGACACAGAGAAACATCGTTGTGAGAGAAACACATCGATTGGTTGCCTCCTGCACATGCCCTGACGTCCAAGCTGGGGAGGAGCCTGCAACTAAGGTATGTGCCTTTGACTGGGATCGCACCTGGGACCCTTCAGTCTGCAGGCTGAGGCTCTACCCATTGAGCCAAATGGGCTAGGGCCTGACATAGATTTTAACAAAGCCTTATAGGCACTCACTATGCAAAGGCACTGCTCTAGGCACTTTTATTAATCAATCCATATAACTCCACACACACTATTATCTCTAATGAGGAAACAGGAGTTAGTAACTTGCCCAAGATGGCCCAACAAGCAAATGCACCTTTGGGGTTGGGGCCCTGCTTTCCCACCTGACTCCAGCCTGACCTCCCCCTACAGCCCTGCCCTGCAGCTGTGACATGGAGGGAGTGACCTGGGGCCTTCTCCTTGTGCTGGCAGGTGAGTCCTCCAGAGGTGACCCTCTGCCACTCACATTCCCACTAAGGCAGTGAAGACCAGGGCAGCATCTCTCAAGGGGGGCCTGATGTCAAATGTGTTGTTGTTGTTAATTTATTTTTATTGATTTCAGAGAGAAAGAGAGGAGAAAGAGACAGAAACATCAGTGATGGGAGAGAATCATTGATGGGCTGCCTCCTTCACGCCTCACACTGGGGATCGAGCCTACAACCCGGGCATGTGCCCTTGACCGGAATCAAACCTAGGACCCTTCAGTCCGCAGGCCAAGGCTCTACCACTGAGCCAAATCAGCTAGGGCTCGAATAAATGTGTTCTCATTTACACTGTCAATTTATAGGGAAGAGATAGTACAGGAAATAATAGTACAGGGAAGAGGTGGAATTGCACAATTTATTCTGGGTCATTGAACTAGAGAAAGCCTGTAACCATCTCTTGGCATGAAGAGAATAGCGTTGCCATTTCTTTAGGAAGAAGAGGGTCAGCTAGGGTCTGTGTTGGAAGCTTCCCTGGAGAGGGTAGAGATACAAACACGCAGTCCCATTGGAGTGCAAGAAAGAATAGCAGGAAGCCTGAGAAATAGCAGCAAGGGCTGTGAGTGAGGGGACAAAGGCTGAGGGATGGGAGACAACCTCAGCAGCACTGTCTGGGGCTGGAGGTGTGAGGGAGGGAACCGGCCCCAGGGTGCCACCTAATGAGCTGTTATCCTTGCCCTTTGGGCTGAGGTCTGCCTTCTGATTCATGTTGAGACCAGTGTCATGAATGATCACCAAATCCTCTGCTTCTCCCACCCAGGCCTGCCGGCCTTAGAAGCCAATGACCTGATTGGTGAGTCTTGCTGTCCCACATTTTCCCTCTAAGATCCCACATCCTGCCTCCAACTTTTGGTCCTTACTTATTTTTTTCTTTCCTACAGATAAAGACAGTTCCTTCTCTTATGGTAAGAGCTGATATCCCTCCCACCACCCCTTCCCTTGCCTATCCTGAACCTCTGCTAGAGGTTGGTGAAGGGTGATGTGGAGCCCAATGCAGACAGAGCCGGGCTTGAGGGGGTGAGGAAGGAGGGGCAGTGGGGGGCTGGGGCTGGAGATTAAAGCGCCAGTGTGGTCACTTACAAGAACAAAGGCCAACATGCAGGCTGGCCTTTGAAAGAACCTCCTTCCAGCATGGAAGGAAGGCACCCGTCATGTTTAGGAAGAAGATTCTGGGGAAGTAGCTGCAGGCAATGGGCTGCTGGGTGGCCAGATATCTCTCACCAACCTTCTTCCTTCCCTCACTCTCACTTGCCTTTCTCAGCACTCAGTTCCCTGCTGCCCTCCAGCCCCTGCAGTGGGTCTGCACTGTCCTCCAATGCCCCCAAATGCCCTTGAGCTCCCTCCTCACTCAGATCAAATGCCACCATTCAGAAAAGCCTTCCTTGATCATCCCTTAAACGCCCCCCCCCCACTTTTTTTTTTCTGTGCTCACAAATACCTTGCCCAAGTGCTGGGGTAGAGCAGGCTGGCCCCAACTCTCTCTCCTCTCCTAGACTGGGAGGCCCTGCAGCTGGGCGGGATGATCTGCGCTGCGCTCCTGTGCATAGCTGGAATCTTGTTTGCCCTGAGTGAGCTGTGGGGCTGGCGGGATGGGGCGGAGGGAGGGCATGTGAGAAGAGGGGTGGCCCAGGGTCCCCAGGTCCTTTGCATTGATGTCTCCTCCTCTCACAGGTGGCAAGTGCAAATGCAAGCACAATCGCAAGCACAGGTGAGCATAAGGCCCCTATTGTGTGCACCTCAAGCTGAGCAGACTATTGTGGGGAAAATTCCTATAACTTGGAGAAAGAGGACAGCTTGGTGGCTGCTCCCTGGGCTTGCAGTGGGATTATTCACAGATAATCCATCCTGAAGGGGCCCCACATCAGAAAGCCCTGAGCTCTGCTATTGTTTAAAATGACCGTGGAAGAATAGCAAGGGGGGCAGTTGGGGACCCTCTCGGGAGGGGGCACCAGGCATCTTGGTGGAGGACAGAAGGTCCAAGTATACTAATCTGATGTTCCTTCCGTAGCCCCTTATCTGAGAAAGCTGTTCCATTCATCACTCCAGGTGAGACGGGCTTCTTTGAGGGGCTTCTGGGCATCAGTCAGGGTGACCATAGCATTTGAGAGTTAAAAAATGATATGCTATGTGTCAGGCGGGACTGTCCCAAGCCAGCCCAGCCTTGGGGTTGCCAAGGGCTGAGGGGGGCGTCGGTGTAGTGACCATGTTGTGAGGACCTGACTCCCATTCTCTCCACAGGCTCTGCCAGTACCTGCTGAGCACAGGACCAGCTTCGTGGGACCACCAGGGCCAGCTCCCTTGCTGCTCCCTCCCCACTTGGGGGCCTTAGGCTCCTTCTGATCAGGAGGCTACTCAAAGCTTATTTCCAAATTAAACTGGTCTCACACCTCCCCTGGCCTTGTGACCTTCTGTGGGCTGGGCAAGCCAGGCAGCTCTGACATTTTGCTCAGGAAAAGCCAGGCCCTCTGCAGGGTGGTTGCTCATGCTTCCTGGGAACACATGTCTGGCCTAAGGCCTATGCCCAACATGTCTCCCATTTTGAGAACCTCCTGATACTTGATTTCCTACCCCCTTGCCTCATCCATGCCCCATTTGAGACACCTCAATACCAAAGGCCTTACAATTTCCACACCTTGCCTAGAGACCCTAGGAGTCCCAATGAGCCAGGTACCCATGACAACCTATAACCTAGAATGATCCCGTGGCTCTCCCTCCACTAAACCCCGCCTCACTCAGGGAGAGCTCTCTGTTGCTCACACAGCCCAGGAAATGCAGCCATTCCTTCACTGCCCCACTCTAGTAAAACCCTCTCTAATATTCACACCAGCCCAGGGACCTTCCCCTCACTTAGGTAATATCCCAAGACCCCACTATATGCTGCATCCCAAGAAGCCCACATAGTGCATTTAGGACCAAAAACCGTCCGTAGAAATCTAGCTCCCTTAGGGTTACCGAGCACAAGGAGGGTTCAGTACTCACGGTACTCTACTCATGAATGACATGTGGCCACCCTGAGGTAGTTTTAGTTACTTGCAGCAAGTAAAGGACACCAGGGATTCACATACAAAACTCTGCCTCTGAGGGAGCCTTAGCCACTGCTTATATACACTATTTGACCAATTACATGTTGATTTCTTTGCAGTTGGCTACACTTAACCAGTTGAGTTCCTGTCAAGCGCTTCCTGTTTACAGCTACTTCTGCAAAGCATTTAGCATTTAGCGGGAATAGAGTTTAGTAAGAAGCACCCAGTCCCCTAGAACCTTGTCCTATCTACCAATATTCAAAAGTCCACCTCTGAAACCCCTCACCTGAAAGGTCCCTGCTTGCATGGACTGGGGCCCTCTCCCAACTCAGCAGCTGCAGCCTCGCTGCTCTTGCCAACCTCCACAGCCAAGGGTGTAAGGGTGCGTTCAGCGGAGACCCTGGGGCAGTAGAGGTTTGCCCTGGCCCTGCCTGGCAGTGGCTCCCAGTCTAGGTCTGGATTGATGGGGCAGCCCCTTTTGATGTTGCTTCAAGCCAGCTCTCTGATGGTGTCCTGCTCCAAACCCCCCATTTCTCAGTGGTGCCAGCTCTGGAAAGAACGATATGGCCTAGACCAGTGATGGCGAACCTTTTGAGCTCGGCGTGTCAGCATTTTGAAAAACCCTAACTTAACTCTGGTGCCGTGTCACATATAGAAATTTTTTTATCTTTTACCATAGTAAAACAAAGACTTATATTTTTGATATTTATTTTATATATTTAAATGTCACTTAACAAAGAAAAATCAACCAAAAAAAGGAGTTCGAGTGTCACCTCTGACACGTGTGTCATAGGTTCGCCATCACTGGCCTAGACTTTGGGTTCCTGGCATCAGGTCAGTGGGCAGGGACCCTGCCTCCTACTCGCATCCCGAGGCCCTGAGGTCTGGAAATGGTGTGCTTAGACCTACTTAGAGCCCTTCGAGCAGAACGTGTAAGTGGGGGTTTCTAAGGTTAGTCCAGAGCTGCAGCAGGAGTTCAAAGACCCTGACTGGGATGCAGGACGCCTGGCTGAAAGTGCAGCCGCTGTCCAAGCTGAGTGATCCCGTGTGAGCAGAGCCACCAGAGTGGGCGGCTGCAACAAGCGTTGATCCGCAGACAGATTCTCCAAGCCCAGCTCTGAGCGGGATGGGATGCACACCCGGAAAAGAAGAGTGGGTGGGTGCATGAGCATCAGCAGGTGATGTGATCAGGCCAGAGGTGACATCTGACATGACTCAACTGTGAACAGTAGAAGAGCCAGCCACGCAAACATCTTTCCTAGTAGAGGGCACAGTGTACTGGTATGTGAGCCACCTGCGGGGACACTGGCCTTCATGCTTTTTCAGCTCTCCAGGAAAGCCAGTGTGACTCAAACACAGGCAAAAGAGGAGGCAATGTGGCCACTGCAAGGAGTACCACCCAATTCGGGGTGGATGTTATTAGTTTCAGCTGCTCACTCCATTTGCTCCGGGACACGACCTGGGACACGTCTGCCTATATCGCCGCCGTCTTCCTCCAATGTTTCAGTATTTTGTTATTTTAAAATATTTAGATGTTTATCATTTAATCCTGCAATGCTGTAAAGTTTTAAGTTACCATAGATTTTGGAAAATTATCTATAGGCATATGAGGCTGGAGAAAAGAAAGGGGGTGGGGGGGGGGGCGGGGGGGGAAGACCAGGAGCTGCAGGGGAGGGGAACTCAGGTGCTGGAGGAGCAGAGCGCGAAAATGCGATCCCCAGAGGAGGGCGCAGGCGGGTGAGCCACCACAGAGCCTTCCCCAGGGAGTGCGTGTATGTCCCTTCCCTCCTGGGGCACGGAGGGTACTGGTGTGAGTGGATTGCATGTGAGAGAGTAAACATGAGCTCTGCCTAAGAATGCAAAGTCTGTGACCCTTTGTGGGCTGCAGCATGGAAACGATCTTGGCAGGCGCCCCTCTGAGTGCCTGACAACTGCTTCTTTGGAGAAAGTTGGGTCCCCATCGTCTCACGCTGTGACAAACTCTGTTTGAAATCCTTTCAGAACAAGGAAACCCCAGCATATCCTGGGAACCTAAGTCATCTTGACTCACGATGCCCAGCGCACAGGGAAGAGCATTCCACATTCCTCTTCCCGTGTTGGTGGAGTGGACGGACACACACACACACACACACACACACACACAGGAACACAGTTTGCTCTGCTTGCAGCCTGCCAAGCACGGCTCCATTTAAGTTTTGCCTGAACGAATTCCACAGACCCAACTCCTATAAGCACTGATTATTGGGGAAGGGCCCCGCGACCTGCAACCCCAGTGTGCGTGTGTGGGAGAGGCTGTGTGGTCAGCGTCCGTGAGCCTTGTCCAATAACAGGCTAGCGCCTGGTGGTCTAGGCTGATTCTACCTGTCCCGGGCCTCCCAAGGGGTGCAGGGAGGGTGTCTGGGAGCCTTGGGCTAATCCTGGATGGGAGGAGTCAGGACTGTGGACGGACCAACGGAGGGTGATGCAGGATGGATTGGTGTTACCCCCCCCAGGCTGCCCGTGGATCCCTGCAGGTGGGCTGCTAATTCCCAAGGGAAGCGAGCTCTTCCCCTCTCTGGAGGAGAGCGTGGGAAAGGTTGCCGTATGATGGGGGAGTCTCTGCCCCGGCTTCCTGTGTGCTCGAGACCCATTCATAGGGCCTTTCTCTCCTAGGGGAGTGGGTGGCTTTAGTCGAAATTTCCTTCTCTTGTCATTTTCTCCCAGATGAGGTGCAGCCCAAGAAAGGACCAGAGAAAACAAAGGGTAATTTTCACTTATTGAATCCTTAGGATGTGAGGACACATAAATAGTTCACATGTTAACGCAATTTCCCCAGCAACATGAGACACAGACTTGCATTATCTCCTCTGTGCATAAGAGGAGACTCTCAGGCTTTCTTGCTTTTGAGTTGTTTCTGAAGGCCTAGGCTCCACTGCCTTTCTGTATTTATCATCATCTGAAAGAACCCAGTGACTGTGCCTGTCTGGGGACTCTATATCCCTCCTCCCCTTTAAGCAATCTTATTTTTTCTAATTGCAAACATTTTTCATGCCTATTATAGAAAACTTGAACATTACAGAGATATCTCACTTAGAAGATAAACCAATTTCTAACCCAGCACCCAAAAATAAATCAAGGTTAGAAGTTTGGCCGAAACCAGTTTGGCTCAGTGGATAGAGCGTCGGCCTGCGGACTGAAAGGTCCCAGGTTCGATTCCGGTCAAGGGCATGTACCTGGGTTGCGGGCACGTCCCCAGTGGGAGATGTGCAGGAGGCAGCTGATCGATGTCTCTCTCATCGATGTTTCTGACTCTCTATCTCTCTCCCTTCCTCTCTGTAAAAAATCAATAAAATATATATATAAAAAAAGAAGTTTGATATATTCTAGAATTCTATCATATATATTTCTATAATTCTGGAGATCCTGCCAGGTTCCTACAGTAATCAGTAGTTCATTACTTTGTATTGCTGAGTAGTAGTGCGAGAGAGTGCTTTTAAAATGAGAGCCTATTAATTTAAGAAGTTATAAGGTTTGTTCTAAGATTAATGACTTGAAAACACTGTAATATTTGTTTCCTAGAAAGTACCAGCATCTTCCCTAAATTTTTGTGTCAAATACTATAAAACCCAGAGTAAGAAAGGCTCACAGCTAACACAGGAGCATGTGACCGGAACCATCTGGGTTGATTACTGGCTAGGTTCTATGCCTGGCTCTGGAGAGGGATTTATTACTCAATCTCAATGCCGCCATCAGAGGAATATTCTTAAAGCAAGGTCAGATCAACTCTTGTTCAAAATGCACCAAAGATCCCCTACTTATCTTTCAGAAAAATCCCCTTAACATGGTCTATTGACCCTCAGGTCTGACCCCAGCCCCATATCTGACATGAGTGCTTCAACTTCACCTGTGCTCTCCCACACTCAGCCTGCCTCCTAGACACACCACAGGCTGCAGCCTCAGCCTAGGGCACTGCACTCCCCTCCCTCTGCTGGGCCTTGTCCCTATTCCCCAGCATCCCTGCATCCCCAATTCCCTTCCTATAGGACCTTTCAGAGGCCTCCCGGACCACTCTACACCACCAGCACTCGTCCTTCTCATGTTTCCTGCTTCTACTCTTTGTATATTGCCTTAAATCATGCAATATTTATATTTCACTGATTCATTTAATGTTCTCCAAAGTAATTCAAATTGGCGCCTGCAGAATTTCCTGGGTTTTGGCTCACAGATTTGGTTGTTCTGATTGCCAGTTTTATGATTTCCACTGAATACATAATGGCCATTTTGAGCTTCTCATGTTCTCAAGGGAATAAAAAAAAATCTGATTGTAGTCTTTCCACCAATCTGACATGTTATAGCTCATGGATCTTACAGTTACTCTGTATCTAGA